TCATTTGATCACCCATCCTGTTTAATTGCTAATACTCTCCCTGGCATGGTTTTGAGCTTGGTCCCAGACAATGCCTGGGCACAGGCCAGGGGCTACTCTCAGGTGGCAGTGAGTGTTCTTTGTTTTGGGGAGTGAAGACAGTTTAATCATATAAGCAGTGCTGGACCACTTGCCCTTAGGAACAGAGGAGGGGCATGGATGTAGCTTGTAAGTTCAAATGAGGTCCACAGCTCTGACTTTTCTTTGACGACAGGCTGTGAATTCTTTACCCTGTGAGAATCTCCTGCTAGAAGTGATTAAGCATCTGTTTCCCACCAGTCCAAGCTCTCACCGAGTGTCCCTAAAAATGGGTTGGTCTTGCAGAGAACAAGAAGCTTAATGATCTAATCATGGGAGACAGCGTCTGCTGCCTAATAGATTAATGTTATTTTCTCATGTGCTATGTACATATAAGATAATTCAGTACCACAAGTAAGAAGGGAAGGAGAGGAAGAATGGGATGGTCAGATGAAGTCTTGAAATCCCTCAAAGCCAAGAAACTGGGAGCACTCCAAAGTAAGCATATGAATTTGTGAGAAACTTAGTGTAGCAAATGTTGGTCTATCTGACCAGTAATTTTTGATGGGAAGAAGAGAAGCCAAGCTCTGTTCCTTAACCGTGCTCCTGAGGATGTGCTCAGCACTACAAAAGTCTCTCTAAATACTTCAGAAGACCAGGAGTCCTTGAGGTATTTTGAGCAATGCAAAGTGAGATGACTTCCAGATGCTGTATCGGGGTCACAACCCAAGAGCACCTTTTCCTTTGCACTCTGAGGTAGAAGAACAAGGGAGAAGAGACTGAAAATGAGAGACTTGGGGTTCAAGCCAAAACAAAGCCATGTGCCAAGAAGTTATCTTTTGAGCTCTTTATGAGCTCTATGCATAAAACCTTTACAGGTTGAATATTTTATGGGTATCTAGTTTATTGGTTGACAAACAAACACAGGAATACTGTGACACAGCAGGATATGTCCCTTGGACATTGTAAAGCTGGTGTGTGTGTGTGTAGCACCTAAATCCATAAAAGTGGAACAAGCATTCAACAAAATATGAATAAAATTTTTAAAAAGCTGAAGAAGATCTATTATCTTGCTTCTATAATGCCAGAAAAAAAAAGGAAAATAAACGTAAGTGAAGAAAAGCTACACCCCAGATTTGAAAGGGTAACTCACAGTCCTGAGGAGCGTGTTCTGATTTAGTCATAAGGAAAGCTGGGCAGCTGGGTATGCTCTGCTCCTTTTTGTACCACTCATGCAGTATTTTGAGGAGAGTGTGGGACTGTGGCCTTGGGCACCCACAGCACGTCTGTGCTTATCACTTCAAGGACAACAGACTTCGTTCCTAAATGTGGTTATTGGGAATTCTACCATTCAGTGAAATTACAGCAGGACTGAATTTGGCTCAAAGCAATATTATGTAGCCTTGAAAGTGTTCTCATCAGAGAGTCAGAAATGGCCAAAAATCCAGGAAATTTTGTTAAGAATTAATACTGGAAACAGCATTGATGTCACTTATACATGTGGCATGCTGGGTACCTCGAAGCATATTTAGAGCTGGCAGGAAACAACGGCAAACCAGGGAAAGGAGAATTTCTCCTGCCTTTTGAGCACTGTTGGCTATATTTACCTTTATTCTGCAATGTATGTGTATACAGCACTCTGCCAAGCAAGATATACTTTTTATTGACCTACTTGTGTTCCAATTTATTGCTAGTGACAGCTGTTGTCAATGATCTGGAGAAAATAAATTGAGAATAAAGCAAACAGACAATGATTGGTCAAAAAAATTAGTTGTTGTTTTAAATCAAATATAAGAGATTTAGTCGCTTAAAAACTATAGAGTCTGATTAAAATGAAGACTTTAAAGCCATAGCTGGATTACAGTAATTCAGAACTTCATGGATTATGAGATGAAATACTTCATGGGCATCATTTTAGACAAATACTGCCATTAGGATTACTACATAATTTTAAACCTACTGTACTGCATTTCTTCAAATCCTCTGCTGTGTTACTGTATGAAATTGAAAGACACTGGCTGCCATGTTTAATTTGATCCTTCTAACATGTGAGTCAAGTTTGTTGACACTTAACATTTGCAGCCAGTCTAATCTGCTACATTTCAGTGACTTCTCTGCACAGTAATTTCAAAATCCAGGTCTAGTATAGCTGGTATTCTGGTGGTGTTTCCTAGATACAAGTTGTGGATGACAGCTGTAGTACATTAAAATCTCCATCCTCTAGTTAGCACACCAGGCATTTAACCATTTCTGGTTTTTAAGGGTAAATTAAGACATGTTTGATTCTGTGTTTTATTTTATTTGGCTTTTTTGATTTTTTTTTAATGGGACACAACTTGCTTGGGGACATTCTACATGGAAAACACTACACACGAACAGTTTAATTGTATCTCTCTCTGGAAGGGTGAAACAGTTTTATTGAAGATGTCTGCCAGAGAAATCACATGCATCACTAATGGAGAAAGCAAGTGATAAAAGCCTCTTAGGTGATGGCAATGGTGAAAAAAGCAGTTTCCCTATGAGACTATTCTAGGGGAAAACAGAAACAAACCAATCCCCCTGTTTTTTTGTCAGCCTCTTGAGGGCAAATCAGATGAATATACAATAGCTCTGTTGTAGCTGCTTCTGACTGTGTTTGTTTCTAATCCAAACATGAGCACATCCTACAATTTTGACTTTTATCAGGCACACTGATACCTTTCTGCCTTGTATGTACATGTTCAAACTGCAGAAAAATTGAACAGTTGCAAGTAAATTATTGATGATAAAGTATTTTAAGAGATACAAAGAGTTAGGTAGTACTTGAAACAGCTTCAAATTTCCTCAGTGGCGATTGTTGAATAAATGTACTGGAAGATTTAAAAACACGAAGGGAGGTGAAAAAGGAGGGAAAGTAAGCATATACATACAGGGGAGGGTTTTCTCCAAAAGGGCAGAAAAACTGATTACATTTATTCAACTTACATCCCCTTATGTCTACCTTGAATACACACAGAAATTATTTTTACCAGCCACCTATTCTTGACATATGAAACAGATACGTCCATTTGAAGTCTATGGGAATTATTTATACTTTATAGTAGGAAACCTGGATTCTCTTTATGAGAGGCTGCTGTTCCTCTAGTTGTCCCCAAGACCAGGTAGTGTGAACAAACCTTACTACTAATATAAGTAGTAGTAGTAGTAGTAGTAGTAGTAGTAGTAGTAGTAGTAGTAGTAAAAAATCCCAGTTCTGGTAGAAAGCAGTTCTTGAGGAAGCAAAGCTGCTATCCCAGGGTTTTCTTTGGTATAAAGGAGTTAGAGATGTTTTAGGTGAAAGTATGGGAGTACGAAAGATGGATCGAAGTCATACAGCTTTATGGAGCTCCAGGCAGTCTAAGGCTATGCTTGAACAGAACCATTTCTACACTAGCTGGAAAAAAAACAGTATTTTCAGGCCAGAACATTACCAGTCAAAAAGAACCTGGATTTTCTAGATACTAGGATTTCAACCTTCTGTTTAATCTTTATATCTTACCTAAATAATACCACATCCCTAAACAACTGTGGGAAACAAACCAACAATTTTAATTTACCAAAAAGAAAAGGAAGACTTAAATTATTTTTTGAGGAGGAGAGAAGAGGATGTTTGAAGGATGTAGTGAAGGTGGGGAGGGCCATGTACCCCTCCAGGTACTCATGCTAATCACTGCTGCTTCCTCCTTGCCCTGCCTTTGTCATACCTTTTCCTGAGCAGCAGTAGCAGTGACAGCAGCAGCTGTCAAAGCTCAGGGATGCAAGGCTCCCATATGTCCTCTCCCCTTGCTCCAAACAGCTCACAGGAAAGGTGCCCCTCTCACCCTGCCTTGCTACAGTTCTCACAGAATCACAGAATCACAGAACGTTAGGGATTGGAAGGGACCTCAAAAGATCATCTAGTCCAATCCCCCTGCCGGAGCAGGAGCACCTAGATGAGGTTGCACAGGAAGGCGTCCAGGCAGGTTTTGAATGTCTCCAGAGAAGGAGACTCCACAACCTCTCTGGGCAGCCTGTTCCAGTGCTCTGTCACCCTCACTGAGAAGAAGTTTCTTCTCAAATTTAAGTGGAACCTCCTGTGTTCCAGCTTGTGCCCATTACCCCTTGTCCTATCATTGTTTGTCACCGAGAAGAGCCTGGCTCCATCCTCGTGACACTCACCCTTTAAATATTTATAAACATGAATGAGGTCTCCCCTCAGTCTCCTCTTCTGCAAACTAAAGAGACCCAGCTCCCTCAGCCGCTCCTCATAAGGGAGATGCTCCACTCCCTTAATCATCTTTGTAGCCCTAAATCATCTTTGTAGCCCTAAATCATTCTGTATATATTAGTAATCTGATTAGTTCTGTATATATTAGTAATGTGATGTGTGCATAATTAAAACCAGAGCCACAAGGGTACTAATGAAGCCTTAATGGCCCTGTCCTGCCTCATGTTGGGCCTCCCTCCTCTACCCATGGGTGAAAGAAATCCATTTATGCTTAGGTCTGGGCCTTCACCCACTGATTCAGACCCTGACCTGGGGACTGTCTTCCTGGCCTGACCTTGGACCTGCCTCATCCCCATGGACTTGTCTGAGGATTCAGGCTCTTGGTTAAGCCTGACCCCATCATTGGGCCTGCCCTGCTCACCTTGCTTGGGTGCTGTGGGACTGGGCCCCTCGTGGCACAGCTCCTGCCATGCCAGCAGTGTTCTGCTCTTTGGCTCCTGGTTCCCCATCATTTAGGAAACAGCCAGTCCTCACTGCTCCCCGATGATTAGAGGCTTAATTTATGATGAAAAATTATAAAGTTTATATAGAATGTCTCATTTATTTCTCAACGTACAGTATTACTGTAATACTTCCGGCCATGTCTCAGTTCCTGTTGGACAGGCTGGATTTTTCTCTCTTTAAATGCAGAAAATGACACTGTTTTCTTTATACTTACATATCATCAAAGACAAGCTTTGTCCTTCTGCAGTCCCTGGGTGTGCTGGACAGAGGTGACCAGGGCTCTGTTTGGGACTGTGGTTTATTGCAGAGAAGAACATTTTCTGAATTGATGTGATTTGCTTTCTAGACAACAAACAGGAGAGAAGACATTGAGATATTGGCAACTAACTTCAAAAAAGCAACCAATAAACAAGAGAGCGCCTTTACATTGTGTTGTAAATTGGCATTCAGTTTTCCTACTATTTCAGCAGGGAGTGCATACAACTGCCCTGTCATTGATAGCCACAAATCCACAGATATTCCTCAGAGCACTTTGTAAGGGCCTCGAGTTTCAATGTGATATACAGAAGAAATTGAGCTGAGCTATTAGTAACTATCAAAACACTCAGAAACACAGTAAGTAAAATTATTAAAGAAAAGATCTGTTGTGGTAATTTAGAAGATCAAGTTATATCTCTTGTCTTCAGCTTCCAAACTATCATTGTACCCTGCCTCAGGAAAGCCAGACTCACTTGTTTGACTTGTTTCATGCTGCACTGCAAATGTGCCTGTGCAGTATGAATTTGTAGCCGAAGGCCCAGGTATTTTTCTGCTCTGGGTCTCTGATCAGCTTGAAAGATCACTGCTCTGTGCTGCAGTGGAAACATATGTCTTTTGGCAGGGTCGCACTCATTCCCTCAGCTGCAGTCCTGCTCTTCACATGGCGTCATGAGCCCATCATCCTACCAAGTGACCTGCTGTGTGGGCTACTATGCACTGGTACACCGCAGAGCAGAGACACAGGTTGCTTTTAGTTGGTAAGCACTGCCAGAAAACACTGTTCTTTCTTCATCAGGTGACAGACAGAAATGCAATAGGAAAATGGACAAAAAGCTCAAATGGATAAAAGCCACTCCCTGGCTTGAGGTCTCTGAGAGACATTTGAAGGACCATTTGGGCGTGCAAGTTCAGTGCCAGATGGGAAGCTGGGATAAAACAAAGCTAACTTTAAACATTTATAGTTCATGAGATCTCATCTTCTATATGGCACA